AACGGTGATTTATCATTTTTGGTGTTGCCGAAAGTGTAAAAAAAAATGTATGTAGTTGAATGTGCATCATTAAGGAAAGATTTCAGGAGCTTCAAATCACTAAATATTCATTTTTCCAACGCCTGATGATCCATTTTGCACAAAGTGTCAATAATTACAAGCATGCAAATGCGGAATCTGTCTTTCTAGACGGGGGCAAGGAGTTCTGGAGAAATTTGCATGTAATTAATTACTGGTTGCGCGCCTTAATTGCTGTGCACACCAGTCAACGTGTCGTTTTGGGTGTTTATTAAGACTGCCTGCAAGCGAGGGATTGTGCTACCTCATTATTTTAATGCAATTACCAAGTTTTCTTTCCGGCACCGCTCCAAGACACAGCTCAAATTGCTCTGGCCTCTTTGCGAAATGAGAGAATGAGGCAGGCGCCTTGGCGTGGAAATTATTAAAAATGGCAGTAATAATAATTTTTACCTGCATCACGCCATTGTATTAAATTTAATGAATTCTCGCTACGACGGAGTTTTGAAATATTTATAAGAATATATTATAATTTATAATACATTCTGTGCCATATTATTTTGTTATATTTCATTTTTTTTTTTAAATAAAGAAAAACGTGCTATTTTGTAATAAAAAATTGTTTTCACTTTATCCTGAAATATCTGCATATTGAAAATTCCAAATTAAGAAACGAATTAAAGACTTTGGCTGAAGTGTTTTAAAAATGATAAAGAACAGTATGAAAACGCATGGTATTAGGTTTATTCTATCCTACGCTATATCATTATCAGCATCCAACAAGTGCACTTAGAATATATTGTTTATATTCTCGTTTCCGTTAATAATTTGATTTCATCGTTCTAATTACTTTTTTCATTGATGTTAGAAATATGAACATTAACTTAGTGAGGATTTGATTCTATCAAATAAAATCTGTTCCATTTCAAGGACCATGTTAGATCTGCAAGAAAATTAAGAAAATGATTATTTTTTAATCATTTAAGTTACATGCTATTCAAATTATTAAATATATAATTGCAATAGTTGTATCCATTTAAAAACCTGCAATTTTTAAAGCAGAAAAAAAATTATAATATGCAGAAGGCATTTTTTTCTTTACACAATAATCAGGGTTTGCTTAAAATGAAAATAAATAGTTCAATGCTGGATGGCCGCTGAATTAATAATTGAACGGGATCATATTTATTTACTATATTTTTTCGTCTGCTACTAGAAATGTGTATTTGACATGAATTTTGCATCAAAGTGGTCGTTAGCTCAGCAAATTCAGTGGCCATAATGAAGTCCTCAGTCCCCCTGATGCAGCGAATTGAGTTTTCAGAGGGCCTAACTCGCTACAAATTACATTGTTTGGCCGCATAATGGAATAATTCCGCACCCAGGGGTCCGCAGAGAATGTCACTCGACGCGACACAAACTAGCGAATCTCTGGCCGCTGCTGTTGTAATTCGCATTGTTAAAATTCAAACGGTTCCATCTCGCTGGCTGCTGTGCGTCAATTTTTGAATTAAAAAATCTCTCTCCTCACTCTGAGTGATTAGTCCGCGTCCGCGTTATATTTTTTTCGCCCCGTGAAGCCAGAGAGCGTGAATCACGCGCGCTCCGAGCTGAATATTGCCCTCCCTTAACAAACCAATATGGCGCTCTCGAGATTATTTATATGACTCATTTATATGCGAGAGACCCGCTCGCATTCATACACTTCAGCTGCGTCGAAAGTGCGTATTGCTTTTCACAAATTATTGCTCTCGCATATTCAGGGCGGGGTTTCATTCGTTCGCTTTCTGCCCCGTTCGCTTTCTGCATCAAGGCTTGAGCGCCATCAACGCTAGGATTAATAATCAAGGGAGCGTCACATTTATATAAAAAAAGTTTTTAAATAATATGTTAAAATTGACTTATAGGTATCAAATCAACAAATTGAAAATAATATTATAAAGGATAATTGTCTTTCAGATTTATAATGTTCGAAGTCTTTGTTACACCAATTAAGTATTTTAAATAATTGTCTTTCATTGATTATAATTATTCGTGAGAGAGATGACAAAAAGGTTCCCCAACATCACGATCATGAATTTAAAGAACAATTGTCATAATTTGTAATGTTTGCAACTTGCTCTCATAGAGATATGCAACTTGCTTCACACCAACGAAGAGCATGATGCCTACATCTCGCTCTTTCATTCTGGATACCCTTTTCTGCTTTCATTATTCTCATATTTGAGAGTGACCCTACTATTTACAAAAATTTTAGTTTTATATACTGATTTAGTTGCAAATAATAATTTATTGATTTATTATGGAAGCCAATTTACAAATTGTGATATAAATTCACAAATTTAAATTAAATTGAGCGGATAAAAAATAACTACTGTAATTAAATTTGAGATATTTATAAAATAAGCTGGACATTCATTTTATCGACAGTTAACAAGCAATGATTGAACGAAAGCGGTCATCTTTTGCATCACAGGAATTCTGCAAATAAAGCTCTCCGGAGGCGATGGCGACATGACTCGTTCGTTTGAGTCGGCCAAATTGAAATATTACAATATGAAAGTAATCAAGGAGAAAGCTTGGTGGATGCAAAGGAGAAAATCCGCCACAGCATTTCCACGTCTTTTAATCATCGGCGGCGGTGGCGACAGTAATGCAGCATTTAAAAGCCGATAAGCAGCAAATGACTCAAAGAAGGTAGTTACAATAAACGTCGCGTCCGCGAAAAAAGCGGCCCTTTGATCATTTCCTCTCATCCTCTTTTATGACCCAAATTATCCGACTGCTGGGAAGGGAATGTGGCTGCAGACTGGATAAAAAGCGGTTCACAGATAGAAATGGATACTCGAGCGCGCGCCGCTAATGACTTTTTATGCAAAAGTTGGCGATTGCTCGGCGACAAAAGTGCTTCAATAACAATCCGTCAGTCAGCAACTTTCCACTTCTTACTTAATGGACGTGTGGCAATGAAACAATTAAATTCTCTTTCTTCGCCACTCGAAGCGCGATGGCGGCGCAAACAATTAATTTGACAACACACGAATAATAATTCCACCGCTCCTCCATTTTAACGAGGCGATTAGACTCGCAGCTTTCTCTTCAGCTCGGCGACATGTTGGAGTGAAATTTATTCACTTTGAAAACATTCGGCGCAATTTTCCGGCACACCAAGAAGACGCGCCCTTCTTTTCAATGCACTTCAGCTTCTGCCCAGCGGTTCTTCAAATCATCAAGTCCTTTTCTACGTGCACTCTACCCTCGGAATGTATGAATACAAAAATGCATTTCCATCTCGTCGGACCAATCGAGTGAGAATGGCCTGCTGTCACACAACTGAATTCAATCTTGTGACAGAAGAAAAGTTGGGAATTCGACCAATCTGAAGAGAGCCAGTGAATAAAACAAGTTCTGTGACTGCTGGGCATTGCAATAAGAAAAGTTTCTTGGATGCTATTGCTTATGAAGAATTCAAAACATGACGCAACTTCCAGTTATCATTCTTACACGCCTCCGAGTTTTAGAAAGTTTTCTTAACTTTGCAAAGTACTGGTTTATTATTTGTTATCTTGAAAACAATGACTTTTTTAGCTTTCTTGCTTGAAAGCGTTCAAAAATGTGTAACAACAAAAATTTGTTTCAATTTATATACTTTTGGATACTTTTTGTTTTTCAATCGTTAGCTACCTCTTTTGTGATGCAGCTTTAGTCTTTCATTAATGGATCTCAATTTTTTGTTTTCAAACACCTTAAAAAGTTGCCCAAGCTCCAAAATCAAAGTAAATGTAATTTATCTTAAAAAATCACTTTGATCAATATTCCATCTCATTTATGGTAATGGTTCTTATAAATTTTTAATAATCAGACTATATTAGTTGAAGTTTTTGTACAATTTATGGAAAGGATCGATTAAAAAATCAATATAATGTCAAATATTTCCACTGTTTTTTTTTTTAAATAAATAATTGATAAAAAAAATTAATATATAAAAAAAAAAGAAAACGAAATGTGGAATATGAAAGAGTTGTTCTATTTCACTTCACTCTTAAATGAAGTTAGTATACACATAATTATGTAAGTATTTAACTTTAAATTTTCACTTTCGTTCCACCACGAAATATTTCACATTTCTGATCAGCGTGATCAACGTTTACCGAACGGCTCGCGGATGACATTTCTTTCCGCCGCACAAACACGCCGCGCGCAATGTGCATCATCTCCGCCGAGCATGAATATTTTTATGCAATATGAAAAAAGACCTGGGTGTGAGCGCAATCAACAAATGAGGCGACGTCTGCCACTGTATGCAACCTGACACTTTTGTGGCGCTCATAAAAATAACATTTGTCTGACATGTTATTACAAAATAAATTCTCAAATTACGGCGTTCATGAAGCTGCGCGGCACCATCTGATATCAGCCCGAGGGGAAATCGGAAACGCGAGGGTCCAAAAAGCATGCAACATCAAAATAAGATGCACTCTGATACATAAGTGATACACGAGATTAAATTATCCGATCACTTTTGATCAATTACATATGAATTATTTAAAATTAAAGAAATTGTTGATATAACTCAGAGAGAGAAAAGCTTATTTTATTTTATAACTTTTATAAGTTATTGAACTTTGTTTTTTCCTAAAGACAAACAAAATAGATAAGATATGAAGGCACTTTACTAATAAAAATAGCCCAAATTATTGTAATAAAAAAACTTTAATTCTTTACAGAATATTTTAACAAGAGAATGCAAGATAGAAATGAAGGTCTTGCGCGTTTTGCTATAAAGTTGTTGACTGTTGTTACCGCGAGAGCAGAGTCGAGTTAAGTAAGTAGTTTGTTTAAGCAGTTTATTGTTTGTTGACCTAACTTAATTGAGGCGTAACCTTGTTACTTGAGTTGTGACGTGTCTCCTGCGGCCGGAGGAGTAGATTGCCTGTTTGCCTCTGACTTTAAACAAACCGCACGTTCAGTGTAGATAAAGCTGTAGTGCGGCGAGTGAGTGCAAAGCAACGAGCGCCTTCAAGTGGCCACGGCATTTTATCAAATCGCTTTTTTCACCCTCTGGATATATCGGATAATCGACGCAACAAGCGGGCAATGGCGATTTATTGAAAAGCCCTCCGATAAGTAGTTTCCACCAAGAGTGGTTTGAAAAAATGATGGACGTTCGCAAAACACGCCACACGTGTTGTCACGTCATACAAGCGCCAAAGTAAGAGATTAAAAAAAATTGTACTTTTTGATCTTTTATTATTTATTGGCCAGCAGTTTACTTCACTTAGAGGTGATAATAAATAATTATTTGATAATACAACGAGAAAAATTCATTTCTTTTTAAAGTTTGACAATAGTTTACGAATATCAGGTATTATGTAATATTAATAAAAAAAAAATAACCGGTCATTTGTGCGCTCTGTCTCAAAAAACGAGCATTAGTTAAAGTTGCAAAATAATGTAGGAAACAACTGATTAAAAATCAAGGAGTTAAATTATTGAATCTTAATTATAGTAACTATTCAAAGCAGTGCTTTTTTATGATTGAAGATAAAACTTCAATAAAACTATTTTTGCGTAAGAAGGCTAAAATGTTATAATTCTCTGTTGAAGAAACAACTTGACGTCACTCTTGCAGTCGAAGGAAGCATTGGAATGGCGAACGTTGCACCTACGAAAGGCAAAACTTCGTGAGGCGAAAGGGGCATCATACATACTGGCCGCTTTTTCAATGGTGAGTCAGTATTTCGTAATTGTCACAGTATAAATTATATGGTATGATTCCCTAGCTTTTAAAATAGCTTTTAACATATGCTTTTTCATTTTATTGAAAATTAATTTTCCTCCATCTAGCAATAATTAGAGACACCGCCTTTCATCTAGGCATATCAAGGCTTACTTACTGTAATTTAGTTAAGTTTCAATAATTGTTTGCTTAGTAAATATTCCTTAACACTGGATCAACCTCTGTAAGGTTAAATGAATCTGGCGCATAATGCTAATAATTTATAACAAAATGTAATAATGAAGTCAGTAAAGTATAATTAAAATCACATCAATACTCAATAAGAAAAGCAACTGAAAATTCAAGCATATGAAGTATATTTTTTAAAATGCGTATGCCTTTAATTTATTATTATAATAATTTAAAATTTAAATAATTAAAATTGTAAAATTTTGACTCTGCAGAATTCCAATGTCATGCAGTAATTTTCATATAACAAAAAGAATTATTCTTAAAATATAATAAATCATAAAAATATATAATTTTAAGTATTTAAAGCAAAAAAATTATATAATTTACTTTATAATAAAAATAATTAAACTAAGTAAGTATTACTAATAAAATTTAATTGTTAAAAAGCACGCCAATTTTTGCATTTTACAAAGTCCGTGGAAGGTTATGACAAAATATGTGTTGCAATGATTGATAAAATAAATAGTGTGATTTTACCAACGCTATATTATCAATTTTCCCTTAAGTTGAACGATTTTCGTACTATTTGGCAAATAAGTAAAATTCCCAAGTTGCGGGCAGATATGGGCAGTGATTCCATGTATATCAATCCATATCATTTGTGACAAATAAATTTAATTTTTTTTCATCTAATTATATATGTATGAATTAAATATTTAGTGAGAAGTCTGTTGACTTAAAATTAATGAGATAATTAACACATTTGAAAAATTATCGGCTGACATTTAAAAATGATGTTATAGTTTTTAAAATTTTAAGTATGTTCTAATTACTGAATAGAAAATAATTATAGGCAGAAGGAAAATAATATCAATGCCATTTCTCGATTTGCTTTATGTTCTTCTACATTATCCGTTTCATAAAATAAAAAAATAATCAAAGTTAAATGTGAAATTCTATGATTTGATTTTAGTCCACGATGCAGGAACTGCAATTGGACATGGACACCACCGTTCCAGTGTGGCTTTTCACCCTATTCGCGGTGAACACAGTGACATTGATAGCCGTGCACATCTTCTCGTTAGTGATCAGCACGTGTCTGCTGCCGAGCATGGAGGCGGTTGCACAGGAGTACGAACCGCCTCTGCCGGGGGCGGCAAAGGTGTGTCCGGTGCCCGACTTTTCACCTCACAACCGGCTGCGAAAATTCGTCAACCTGAGCGTCGCCCTGTCCAACGTGTTAGGACTGTTCCTCTTTTTGTTCGAAGTGGCCCTGCTCGCGTGGGTTAAGTTTTGGGACCACTCGAAGGCCGCTTGCTGGGCCGGCTCGTTGATCATGGCACCAGTTTTGGTGCTGTTCCTCGCCTTCTGTTGGCATTTCAACAGGGTGCTGGGCGAGTGTGCGTATGGAAAGAGGGACCAGGAGATCCGCGAAATGCAAGACGAGCTTTCGGCAAACGAAATTTCGGGACAGACTCGGCAGGGAAGTGTTAAGTTTTCCCTGTCGGATGAGATAATTTCCTACAGACCGTGATTTTTTTACTGATAGTGTTGCTTCAATCGAGCTTAATGATTTTATTGTTATTCTATTATTGAAAGAAAAAACTAAATCATAAATTTAACATTTAAGGTAGCTATTTTTATTGATAATTTATTGTATTATTAAACTGTGATTACCATGAAGTGAGAGGGTAAAATTTAATATGGAAAAAATTGCAATGCGTCTCTCATTAACTTTTGTAGGCATTGGAACGTAAAACTTAAAAAAAGGTTTGATTTTTGCTAACAAAAATCGCAAAATCATTCACTGTGATCTAATAATGAATTTATTTTATTTCAAAATTCATGTATATAAATTGCTTTGAAAAATCAAGGAAATCAAATTCATCAAAAAATCATTTAAAAAAATAAGAATCATAGTTAATTTTTATTTTGACTACGGCTGTTGACAAATACATATTGTAATGTAATATTCAAATAAGAAAAGTTGAACTGTTTAAAAAAGTATCTTGATATTTTACAAAACCAAATAAAATGTGCATTTTCCCCGAGCCTTAAGTAAACTTGAGCAACACATTGGTAAGAGTGAATTGTGTGATTGACGTGACGGTCTGAGCTTGACGCGTGTTGAATTCCTTTACACTCACACACTTTAGGCAAATCGCGACGGAGCGAGCGGTGAAAAGCTTTCAAAGTGTAAAATTGACAATTTCGAGAGGATCAGATTGTGTATTCCGGCCTGGGAAGGAAAAGAGACGAGTGATGCGGTGGGGGCGCGATTTGAGTGTGACAGACAGGTCCAATCTCACCTTTGCTCAGCAATTTGAATGGCTGTAGCTGCGGCAATGGAGTAAATATAGTTGGAAAATAAAATAATCTGCCGGCGCGTGGCTAGTTAGTGCGCCTTTCATTTATTCCAACTGCATGTTCGCGCCGTTTTTGTGAGTGTTTTCCCGTGAAAAAGTACGCGAGACCATTATGTTGTCTAACAACGTGTTATCTCGACACTCTCTGCCTGCTTGGCAGCCGCACAATGGAATATTATTTCATTTCACAGGACGCGATTTCTCTCGCCCACCCGCCCGCCCGCTCTGCTGTCGAGTGCACTTTTTTGTCCTGTCACTTCCCCAGGGCTCGAAATAAAAAAAGTACGAGATGTATTTGTTGTGGTGCAAATAAGCAAATGGAAAAACGACCATTTATAGGCCACAATGAAACTCCGAAGCGCATTTTTATCTCTGATCCTTCGCGCAAACAGATTCATTATTTGCATTGTGGGAAGTTTCGCTGTTTTGCTCCATCGAATGCTTAAAACTTTGAAATATGAAACTGATGTTTTCTGTCATTTTTATTATTGCGTCTCCTTCAATCGTTGAACATTCAGTTTGAGTTTTGAAACTATTTTGTAAATATCAAATCATAGGATTCTTTCAGTTGAGAACAATGTACTTCAGATTATTTTAAAATTCACTCTCTTTTTACCCAGTGATATGATTTGTGAATGTTTAATGATGTGGTGGGACAGTAATAGCCTAAATTTATATCAATTTAGAAACTTTGAAAATTTTCCAAATTTACAGAACTGTTTTTGGTTTTCAAAAATGTTAAATAATGATTGTTGCTAAAATAGAATCAATTTTATATTTGTAATGCTCACGAACCTAAATTTTGTGCACTTAAAATTATAAAGTGTCGCAGTAGCTAAGTAGCAAAGAAGTGAAGCTTTCCGTTTTTTAAAATTATAATGATGTTTAATAATAGCAGCTGCAAAACATATGCAACCTGCTGGCGATTTGTGTTCCAATGGTTGCATAAGCAAAGTTTCTTCCAGGCGCAATAGTTTTTGCTAATTGATGTATGCTGCTGTGTAGGAGTGAACCATGAATTTTAATGGTTTGATAATTATTTTTTGCTTGAAAAAAAAATTAAAAGGTTTTGGAGTTTTCCCCCCATTATATTTTTACTACTTTGTAATTATTTTTGACAGATCAAAGTTTATTTTAACTTTTTGCGAAGCCGCCACGTTCAGATTTTTTTTTTCAATATTTATTTAATCTTAAATCATGCAAGCTATAAAGCATCCACAAACAAATCTATACATATTATATCATGAAACGATATTAGGCATAAAAATAGCTTGAAATATTCAATTAGAAAAAGTTCACTTTTTTTTAACAATTTCCAACATTTCTTTGCTTTTTGGCTTCAGATACATAAAGTCGTCGGATAGTGTTGGAAAATTTAGTGTTAAACATGGAAACTTTGCGGAAAGTGATGGAATAAGAAAGTTTTCGAACAATTTATGTTTGTGGGTTGAGCAATTAATACATTATTTAATAAACCCTTTCAACAATTTAAAATTGCGTTTCAACACTATCCCTAATTCTTTTTGAATAATAAAAACATGGTTTAAATAAAAATGTAAATAAAAACAATTTCAACACTTTCAAGAAGGGTTGATAACTAATTTTTTTCAAGCACTTTGGGTTTCCTTGCGTAAATGGAGTAATAAATTTATATAATTTGTTTTTGCATCAGACACGGTACATAACTTAAAAAATATTTGGCAACAATCATGCGACTTCGTGGTATTTTGGATCGACTTTAGGTGTAATAAAAAAAAAATATAGATGTTAAATTTATATTTTTAACTTAAATTAATTTATCTAATAAAAAAATACTACATGATGAATGGGATAAATAATAATGAAATTACATATTATTAAAATTATTTAATTTTTATTATTATAATAATCAATGTATTTTTAAATTGGAAAATATTAAAAATTGTAAGAACTATGAAAAAAAAATAATAAATAAATTTTATTTTAAGGAAATTGAAATTATTTTATTTTTTAAGTATCAGAATTTATAAACCCAACTCTTGTTTGCAGTCGCTAAACCTCGCTTTCAGTATTTTGTTGTAATACCACAACGAGGAAGAAGAATATTTGCAATTTCCTCTGTTGTCAGCCATCGTCAATGCTCAGCGAGGCCCAAATTTTGAGTTTCAATCATTAAAAATGTTGAGCTCAGTGCATCCAGCGACAAACGATTATTTTCATCCGAGCGCACTCATGCGAGTAGAGATATTTACTTTTAATTCCAAGGGCTGCTGCATTATAATAAATTAAAAACACAGGGCGAAAGAGGCTCTCGCAGAAAGACGGCGGCGTCGCGCAGAGAGGAGGAGCAAAAAATGGCTGTATCCCGACACCAGCAGCCGCGCGCACGTACGTACAGTGTATTTTGATTGAAGTTGATAATAGACTCTATACATGCACACACATCCAAACATAATACATTACGCGAGAGTGAAAAATTGTTTGAGACGTGACGTCAGCGTGATGGCTGCTGTTTTGTGAGTGTGTTGAAAAGGTGTGGTTTCGTTTTGTGTTTTATATATTTTTTACCCCACCAGCCGAGCGAGGACCCTCCCTGCCGCTATTATGCTCTTATTTTTCGCTGCTGCCGTTCCCCCTCGCCGCGGAATATATCTGACTGCGACTTGCATTAATTTCTGCCGGGCGGGTTATGAATGTGTGAGTGTGAAACGCGCGTAATGTGGAGGAGCCTCGGCCGTCGACGCCCATCGGCAGCCACCCCGCGTGCATGCCTCCCTCGTTGCACCCCTGCCGCCAGCCTGCACGCCGCGTGGATCACGAAATTGCAATCGCGCCCCTGGAGCTCGCACACCCCCTGGCTATGCAACCCGCGTCGCTCGCTCACCCGCCGGATGTGCACTTTCTGCTTTCGGTGTGTGTGTTTTTGCGCTTTTCCTCCAAGATTTTCAACAAATAATGCACCCGCCGCCTTTTGTTTTGCACTTTGACAACAACGTGAGCCCGTGACAAAAAGACAAATAATCACGCCAGCACAGCCTTTGCAAACGTGCTCCAAGCTCTAATAGCGCAGATTATGAACAACAAATATGCGTTATGATGGAAATTTTTTCTCACTTGAAAATTTTTCTTACATATCAAATTATAACTGAGCTAACAAATGAATTTATTAAACTAATTTTATTTTATTTCAGGAACATTTAAAAGACGTACACCCTTCTCAAGATTGAAATTTAATTCAAATGGCATAATTAAAAATAAACTTTCAATACAAATATGTCAGACGTCATAACAAATAATTCAACATTAATTGTGTTATTGCTTTCAAGGTAATGAACTGAACTATTTTATTCTGTTCTTATAGAAACAATTAATATATCTACTGGTTATTCTGAAGTCTTTATTAATTTCCGATTTTTGCTACTTACGTAGAAAAAAGGCAGAAAAACCAAATTACGCAATAGGCCAGTTTTTTTCCAGGAGGCTTAATCATATCGATATTACTACGATAAACGTTCATGTATCAAGGTGATCCTCAAAATGATATATTTCTAGCCATAGAGACATTTTCTGTTGTAGAACTTGAGTGCAAAAATATATAATATTTAAATGGAAAATTTATGAAAACGTTCAAATAATTTACAGAGCAAGATAATGAAGCGTTGGTGAATGTATTGAATGTGCATTGATTATTGTACTACTATTTTATTTTCAAATCAGAAAATACCTGTCATTAAAATGCGTTCCTCGTGATAGAAAGTGATATCTTAAAGTTAGAACAAAAATTGGTTATTGTTTATTTAAAATGTGATAAATATCAAGCCTGGCACAGCTGTACTTTAAAAAGCTCCCAAGAGAACAGCGGGACCAAATGGGACCAAATAAATTCTTTAATTATAATAAAACTCATTGTTATACACAATCATTCATGCTTCAATTAATTTTCAATTTGTCAATTTGAACTGTTTTATAAGCATCCAGTAAATTGTTTTCTCTGTTCTTTTAAAATAACTGGATCTAATTATTTGAAGGATAAACTAAATTTTATTTATTTCTACGATAAAATTTTGCGTTTGAGATTCATTTCAGTTTCCGGGTTTTTCCATGATTTTTTTTCGTTCCTTTATTGGTTCAGAAAAAGATTATTCTACATTTCACGGGCTGCAGGCAACATGAGCTGTGAAATTATTTTCACTTAAAAATATAAACCCATCGAGGTAAGGTTGTTAATTTTGTTAATTTAATTTTTTATTTCAAAGAATTTTTTCTGAATATTATCGGCTTTGATTTTTCTAATAGTATGCCTAATTATTTAGCAAAAAATAAGTTGATTGTGATTTTATTTTATATCTAAAAGCATTTTGGCTCTGATAGTTTAATTTTTACAACATAAGACAATATTTTGTCTGGACCTGATCCACATGGAAAAAATTAATTTAAAAAGGGCGTTTTTTAACATGGCCACCAACAGTTGAAAAAAAAATATAAATTTTATCAATAAAAAATGAACTTCTTTCTTCTAACATTTTAATAATAGGACACAAAATTTTTAAAGGGTTCTTATTGAATATTATAATTATGTACTGTTAATTCTCCAACAGTTCATCAATCAGAACAGAGCCAAACATAGTCATACGTGTCGGTCGTTTCCCAATATGGAGGTAATTATAATATCGCCCATTAATTTTATTGCTAAAATTTTTTTATAATCAAATACTAGGGACAAAAGATTTTTGAGGGAATGAGGTGTATGAAGGCGATGATCGACTGGTGATGCATGAGGGTGCATTATCCTCATTACAGCTGCAGCGCAACGAGGAATTGCTCAAGATGACAAAGAGGGCTTTCACTGGCTCAGCTCAAGAACAAACAGACAGACAGCTAGGGCTCTCGATCGGTAGCGCGGCGAGTAATGAGAGCCGTGTGATTTTGCTTGTGGCCTCACTTAGTAATGAGCAATGTGTGTGCATTAATTACTGCACAGGGTGGCTCGCAGGAATCCATTCAGAATGGGTTAAGAAAGGATTTTGCCATTGTCTGTGGATTATTATGCTGCACTCGTTTGAGAGGCCGCGGCGAACGTCAAATAAAGGGAAGAGCAAAAGTGCTCCTCGTGCACGATTTTGTCTGCGGGCAGTGAATAATGACGCGGAGAAAGGGCGCGCACAGACCACACATACACAATATTCATATTACGAGAGCTGCTGCACTTTTCTTCTTTATGGTTTTAATGA